GGGAATTGGGTGGAAGGGAGGTGCCGGTCTGTGTTTTTCCCAGGGTTAGGGGCGAGAGAAAGGAGGCAGTGGCGAGAGGCATCCTGGCCCCTGAGGTGGGCAGGGGGCATGTGGAAGGGCAGGGAGGAGGGACGGCGGCCCCAGGGACCCTCCTTCATGCCTCTGATTTCTGCCCTGACAGGTGCAGGCCACCGTCGTGGGGCTGCTGGCTGCTGTGGCCACGCTGCTGCTGGGGGCTGCGTCCAGGGAGGAGCTGGACTTGGCCAAGGTGGAGCTGCTGTGCGCCAGCAGCATGCTGACCGCCTTCCTCTCGGCCTTCGCCCTGGGTGAGCCCGGCCGCGCCATGCCCTCCTTCCCTCCCCCGATGCCTCCGAGGCCCCTGCCTCAGGCTCTGTCTGTTTTCAGTTCCTGGAGGGGTGAGGGGCGGGGCTGCTAATGGGCTAACTGAACTGGGGTTGTGCCCTCCCCTGGGCAGGGACTTGTGCTGCAGAGAGCTGCCCCTCCCCACCGTCTGCACATGGGGGGCCTGGCCTTGGCTCTGCAGATGCCCTCGGCGGTCACTCTCCCCGTGCCAGCGTCTGACACCAGTTGTGTAGACAGTCGGTCTGCCGGTCTGTGTGCACTTACTGAGCACACCTTTGTAGGCTCAGTGCACGCCTGCAATGCGCTCTGGAGGCTGCAGATGTGCTGGGGACAAGGCCCGGGTGTGCACTTGAAGTTCATCTCTTCAGAGAGACATTTCCTGACCCGTCTCAGTCCATCTGGGCTGTTGTAACAAAACGCCATAGACTGGGGCGCTTATAAACTACAGAGTTATCTCTCACAGTTCTGGAAGCTGCAAGTCTGAGATCGGGTGCCAGCATGGCTGGGCTCTGGGGAGGGTCCTCCCCATTGCAGGTAGCACCTTCTCGCTGTGTCTTCACGTGGTGGGAGGGGCGAGAGAGCTCTCTGCGGTCCCTCGAACGGCACTTACTCCAGCATGGAGGCTCCCCCCTCATGACCTAATCACCTCCCAGAGGCCCCATCTGCTAACATCATCGCCTTGGGGGTAAGGATTTCAGCCTGTGGATTTGGGGGGACACCAGGGTTCAGTCCACAGCACGGCCCTCTCACAAGCACCCTCCTCTTTCTCTCCCCCTCCCCACGGCCACTGTGTTCTGGTTGTGAATCTCTGACGTCACCCTGCTTTTGTTCATCTCTGAGGTCACCCTGATTTTGTTCATCTTTCTGTCTCGCCTGCCTGCTAAAATGTCAGCTCCTTGGGAGTGGGCCCCCGGCAGCTGCCACCCTGCTGCCCGCTGCTCCTACCACACACCTGGCAATACCGGTGCTTAGTGCGTGTCTGCAGCTGACAGGAGACATGATGCACTCTCGGGGCCCACGTGCTGGTCGGGAAAGCACGGCCACCACGCAGTGGCCACGTCACGTTGGTGATTCCATAGCTGCCGGGTGTTTACTGTGTGCCGGGCACCGTCCGGGGCTGGGGATACCCTGTGGACAGAACACAGCAGACTGTTTTTATGTTTCTATTCTAGTTCAGAGGCAGATAATAAATTCGTGGATGTGCAGAGAACTTGAGAAAGTGCCAGAGGATGCTGGCGTTCCCAGGCCTCCCTGATCAGCACTAAAGCAGCCCTTGTCCGGTCATGCTTTATTTTAGCGTCCTGTTTTGTTTACCTCAAACGCACATTCTTGCATTTGGGTATTGTCTGTCCTCCCATCTGACAAGCATTTCCCCGGGTGAGGACAAAGCCTTTTGCTATTGTCTCTCCTTAAACCAAGGCCGGGCGTATACCCGGCCCCCAGATGTTTGCGGCACAAATGGGCTTCATTCTGATTCTCTGCTGGATCGTGTGTCGGTGCACGTCTTGCAGACCACGTGCCCTGCTTTTGTGCAGCGGAAGAAGGAACAGTTGATAACTTCATAATCGGAATTGTATTTACACGTCTATCCCCCTGCCCGCTTGCTCACAGAATACCCCCTGGGCTCAGCTCCCTGTAGGGCAGCCCTGCGGGTTATTTGGGGTTTCTCGTTCCTACCGGGCAGCTGACCAGCCACATCCCTGTGCTAGCACGAGTGGTCAGTGTGGAGGGCTGGAGTCCCGAAGGGGAGCCTGTGTGAGGCCCGGCTGCAGGTTTGCAGACCATGCTTTCCCACTCAGGGCGTGCGCTGGGGCTGGCTCCTGGTCACAGCCTGCGTGTGCGCACGCACACAGTGGACCCGTGACCCAGTCTAATCACAGGATGGGGCAAGATGTATGCGTCAAACCTCCCCAAAATGAAGTCTCCTCTGAAAACAACACAATCTGATGATTCAGGTGGCCAGCCGCGTCCGCGCAGGGCCATGTAGAGAACACAGTCTCTAGCTCCCCATTTTACAGATGGGGAAACGGAGGCCCAGGGATGTGGTGAAGTCGGCAGCGTGAACATCATCTGTATGGTCCAGATAATTATCTGTATTGCCAGGGTCTCACTGTGGGACATCAGAGTGGCTGTGACATAAGCCTCATGGTGGTGGCTTTTATTAAGCACCCAACCACTGGTGTCCTTCATGTGGTCCCGGTGGGACTGACACCAGCCAAGCCGTACAAACTCAGATTCAGGTAGAACTGGCATTTCAAAAGGAAATACAGGACCTGTGACTTGGTCACAAGATAAGGCACAGACTGGCTGGTGGTACCAGCTTTAGGATGGCATCGAGGGGATGATTGTAATTATTCCTGGAGTTACAGGATACTGAGTGAAGTGTTAAAATGTCAATAGCCAAGCTAGAGTGTCTTCTTAAAGAACCACGTGAGAGTCTGAGTCAAGTCCCAGGCAGGGGACAGGGAGCGACAAGATTGCGTGTGACAGTCACCTTCAGAACATGGAGTCAGAACAGAGAGGACGACGTCAGGAGGCGCGGCGGCCGTGGAAACACGCCTCTCAGACCTCCAGTGTCTCACCCTGAAATCCTTTACCAGCTGCTCTCGAAAACCACACGCTGCTTCCCAGTGCCCGGTGACAGCACTGCCAGGATCCCAGGACAGGCCTGGTCCCCCTGGACACACAGAGCCCCCGAGGGTGCATCTGGCAGCCTGGCTGGGCTCGCCTCGAACCGCAGTGCAGTTGAGGATGCATCCCCGCCTCCCCTCCTTCCCCTGGCTCCGCCTGCGTCTCGGTCCCTCCCTGTCTTCCTCACAGGCTTTGTCCCTAATAAACCTCTCACACACCTGACTCCACCTTG